TAGATTTACATAATACAAAAGAAAATACTAACAAATATAAATTTAAGGATAAAACTTGTATTAATTTTGTGCTCATCAGTAGTTAAGGTAGGAACAATATCGGTGTTACTACTGGTGGGCCGTTGGCTCGTCAAGTTTCAGTGAAGCAGTCAAAGATGAAGCCTGGAAAAAGGCTATGACAGAAGAAATGTTGATGATAGAGAAGAATTCAACTTGAGAATTAGTTGATAGACCAAGCAACAAACCGATTGTGGGAGTGAAGTGGGTCTACAAAGCCAAGTTAAACCTTGATGGCTCCATTCAAAAGCACAAAGTAAGGCTTGTAGCCAAAGGTTACACACTGAAACCTTTGCACCAGTGGCAAGGTTAGACACCATTAGAACACTCATTGCACTAGCTGCACAGAAAGGTTGGAGGCTGTGGCAATTGGATGTTAAATAAGCATTTTTGAATGGTGTGCTTGAAGAGGAAGTATATGTGGATCAACCGGATGGTTTTGTGGTTGAAGAGGCTGAAGATAAATTGTATAGATTAAGAAAGGCTCTTTATGGTCTAAAACAAGCACCAAGGGCCTGGTATAGTGAGATTGATACATATCTCATTCACTGTGGTTTTCATAGAAGCTCAAGTGAAGCAACTCTATATGTGAGAAACAAAGAAGGAATTGGTGTCTTGATAGTATCAATCTATGTAGATGATATAGTCTACACAGGGAGTAGTACAAGAATGATGGAAGAGTTTAAAACAGAGATGATGTGCAAGTATGAAATGTCAGACTTGGGTTTACTTCACCACTTTCTTGGAATGAGGGTAACTCAAATTGAAGGGAGTATTTTTATACATCAGAAAAAGTATGCTCTCACTCTCTTGGATAAATTTGGGATCAAGGATTGCAAATCAGTGAGCACTCCATTGGTTGCCACTGATAAATTGCAAAGAGAGGATGTAAGTGAAGTTGCAGATGAAAGTCTGTACAGGAAAATTGTTGGAAGTCTTTTATATTTAACAGCAACTAGGCCAGACATTATGTTCTCTGCTAGCCTGCTTGCACGGTTTATGCATAAGCCCTTTAAGAAGGATTATGGAGCTGCTAAAAGGGTTTTAAGATACATCCAAGGAACAATTGACTTTGGGATTGAATATGTGGTTGGTAAATCTGCCCTGTTGATTGGTTATTGTGATAGTGACTGGAGTGGATCTGAAGAGGACATGAAAAGCACCTCAGAGTATGCCTTTTCATTTGGAAGTGGTGCTTTCTCATGGGCTTCGGTCAAGCAACATAGTGTAGCACTGTCAACTGCAGAAGAAGAGTATGTAAGTGCAGCTGAAGCAACCTCACAGGCCATTTGGCTTAGATTTGTGCTTAAGGACTTTGGAGAAGAACAAGCTATTGCAACTACCCTATTTTGTGACAACACTTCAGCCATAGCCATGTCTAAAACCCCTGTATTTCACCAAAGAAGCAAGCATATTCGTAGGAAGTTTCATTTCATCAGAGATGCAAATCAAGAAGGTGTGATTGATTTGGTCTACTGCAAAGGTGAGGAACAGATTGCTGATATTTTCACCAAGGCTCTTCCCAAGAACAGATTCAGCTATTTGAGAAGCCTACTCGGTGTGAAATTAGTTAGCAATTTAGAAGGGAGTGTTGAAAAGTAAATTGCTTACTAATTTCCCATTAGTAAATGATTTACTTAACATAGTTTACTTCTTTTATTTCAGATGAGTGTTAGATAGGCTAACTTGAGCTCATATGCCAAGTGTAAGGTCTTAGATCAATTCTCTTATTACCAACGGCTTACATGCCTTGTACTGCCATGTGTCATAATCACATTGGCTCTTGTATTTGAATGGTGATGA